AGGAAAACAAGACAGTCTTAAATGTTTCCTTCATAACAAAGGGACATCTGCTTTCCCTCCCAGGAAGCTCTATGGAAATTGCCACAATTCATAAACTTAAGAGTAAAACCAGAAAGTGTGTTCATAAGGAGATTTTGCTTTTCCTCTATGTTGGGTCTTTTTTTCCCCCCCCTTTCAACTGATTGGGACAAAGATGTAAAATAATGCATCTTATAAAGTGTCTGAAGGTTGCATTCACGCTTGCTTTATCATCATTGCTACATCAATGATGCTGTAGAATCATTGAGCATTTGAGCAGCTGAAGGTTGCTGTGAAATGTTCGTGCGAAGCATACCTCAAAACCAAAGATGCAGGGAAACTAGAACCAAAATGCATTTTTATGAGGCCTCACGAGAACAGGGCTTGCACAGCCAGCTAGGCAGGAAACAGCCACCCTCCAGTGACCCCTCAGGCATGTGCCAACTGCTGAATAGCTGTTAGCCAGCTGCACAGCCAAAAAAGAGAAGATATTCATAGCAAAAAACTGATAAGAAAGTAACCTGCCCGGGGACACTTGTGAGCTGAAAACTACATTCAAATCCTGACCTACATTTGGTTCTCCAATGCTAATGGGCCAGATTTAGCTTCTCTGCTGATGTTGAAGGCTGGGTCTGCACACACAGTACTGACCTGGCAGCCAGGGGCCGTGGGCTGTGCCTAGCTGGCGGGGTGACCGAGGAGCCAGAAATAAATGAGCAGCTGATCTCATTCACTCATCTCCATCTCCGAAGAATTTTGAGTGAATAACTCAAAGAGGTAAATTATTCATATGGAGCTATTCTAAGCTCAGAGTCATGCAGGCACCTGCTTTAACTAGAATAGGAATTGGGCCTGTGCTGCTGAGGGCAGAATTTGACTTTTACTTTAATTGATGCAATTGTGAGATGTAATACAAGGCAAATCGCCTCTCGAAAGCCCCCAGAGTGAAAGCAGCATTCAAAGTCATAGTGTATAAACAGCTGGGGGTGCAAGCACGGCAATAACTCTGATACTGAAGCACAGAAGCAATAAATAACTCTGATCTTACCTCCTACTAATAAGTAGCTATTTGGGAATAGAGTTTTGGCTTGCATAAGAGCTCTAGCATGGCCAGAGTGGAAGAGGTCAAATATCCCATCTGCATATACTCTGACAGGTCTGTCAACTGTGGAGAAAGAAACACAACAGTGATTTTTCAGTCCCAAAACAAGTTGCACTTAATTCTACTGGACAGGTTTTTGTTCCCTGGTCAGGTGATTGTGCAGATTTACCCCCGGTTCCGATGTTCAAAATGCACCATGGGTGAACTTGCAGTGCTTTATCTTGCTCATTACTTGTTCTTCTCTGTACTCTCTGCTGTTTTCTCTCAGACTTAGCCTATTTATTATCATCCATCATCCCCGTTTTCTAATTTAGCAAAAATGTCATCTTCCTGCCTCATTCGGAGTTCCACCATATGTCTTGTTCTTTTCTCTCTGCCTTTCTAATCAGTTCTGCCTTCTGGATTTTTTAAATTTTTTTCCTTCTTTTTTTTCCTATCATCTCCCTTTTCCTTCCCTCTGGTCTGTGGCTTTCTTTTTTTCACAGTTTACCACTGTAAAAATGTATTGCTTACCTCTTCCACACAAATCTTTCACTTCCCTTTTTTCCTACTTCCCCCAAGCTCTTCTCTCTAACAAGCCTATAATTTATTTTTCCTACCATCCTCCGGCTATCACCCTTACAACTTTTCTTTTTTGTATGACATCTTCAGCAGCAGCCTCCAGACAGAAAAAGGATTTGCTTTACCAAATGACATGCCTGACAGCTGTGCCACCTCCAAGCAAAAGGACAGCAGAGATGAGAGCAACAGAGCTCCAACCACCATGGACTGTGCTTCAGTGCTACAGAGAGATGTCTCTGCTGTCTGGACATCCAATGGTCCATGGGAGAACATTGTTCCTTGCAGAGCTGACTGGAAAGCTGCGGCTTAACCCTATAAAGTGTACGTACTTTAAAAGTTTATTTTAAATAAGTAAAAAAAAGGCTTTTTAAAAATAATCTCTTTGAATTTAGGGAGGCCAAAGTATGTATTTGGGCCTTGGTGTGAAATCGTCCTGTTTCCCCAGCCCAATCACAAACATCCGGATGAAGAAATCAGGCATGGATTCTTGGCAAAGGGCAAATAGCCTTTAAGGCCACTTAAACTGATCAACAAGATCATCAGTGAAATAAGAGTTTTACAGCATACAGAGGCAGTACAGGAAGAGAATCCAGAAGGTAGCCTCTACACAACACAATTTGCAGGCTGGCTGGAGTGGGCTGGCAAGCCTTCCTTCTGACCAACATGCAGATATCCAGGAAAACATCGAACTCGAAATGTTTTCTCTTGTTTCTCTAACAGAAGATAATGGTCCTGTAGTTGCTGATTTCTTCCCCATTATCTGACAGCACCAGATACCAGGCTAGCCTTTCTGCTTCCAAGTAGAAGGCACAAGTGAGCACTGACAGATGTTTGTAAGGGTGAGCCTGTGCTTTAGGACCATCCATGGTTCTGCTGATGTAGCTGTCTGACATACCTGGTGTTCCCAGGCGGGCTTGTGCAATGGTTAGCTTCTCATGGGGGGCTTGGCACTGACAGCTTGTTTCATCTGCAAATGGAGCCGGTGCCGTCAGAGTCTGGAAGGAGGAAAAAACACAAAGAAAGTATTTTTTTTCCATCAAGTAGTTAAAAAAGAACCATTTAACTGTGGCACGATGCTGTAACCAGGCTTAATGTTAGTTTGTTCTCTGGGGATTTTTGCTTTTTGGTCAGCTCTAAGCATACACAATTCACACAAGGTAAAATGATGAGAAAAATAAAGCTTTCCAAACACATCACGCAATCTAATTCTTTGTCTCTGTTAAGAAGCTCAAGCGTTTTTGAGGTTGGTGTAGGTACATAATTTTTCTGTTTGCAGAACAAAGTCAGGTTTGATGGCCCAAGCAGCTTAATCCTTGGTTTGGTGTCAATGACTCCAAAGGCCCAAGATGCAAAATGTATTCTGCTAGCTGTAAATAATAGCTGGAAACAGTAATTGGGATTTAGAAAGCTGCAGATGAGCCACCTCTTCACAAGCACCAGTTCCTTCCACTGACATCAGTGGAGATAACTGGGACTACAGGTTGTTCTGTTGTTTTTTTTTTTTAATCAGAATCTTGTATAATTTTGAGGAGCCATTCAAAATAAACACAAGAATACAACCAGACGTCCCACCTAACTAGAGCTAACTGAACTGCAACTCCTTTCTCTGGCTGTAACAGCACTAAAATGCTCTAACTGTGATCAGAGCACCACAAGGGTACTTGCTCTGAAGAGCTTATAACCTAAAGATATAAGAGAGAGTGAGAATGTGTGAAGAATGACGCGGCATTATCTGTTAGGAAACTTGATTAAAGAAACTATTTTCTGCCCATGCCTATATAGGAAGTTACCAGTGATCAGAACTTCCGATACTTATTATCTGCCATATGATCTGATATGAAAAAACAGACTTCTACTGCACTTGGCTTGAAATCTTTATGAAATCATAGCTGAGTTTTGGTTTGCTTCGTTTTCATGAGATGAGGTGGTGGTTGAGACAAGCTGAAGGAAATCTATCACCTACTTTGCCTCCACCATGATTTAGCTGGGACCTCGTGCCCTTACAGCTGTGGCTTGATTGGATTTTGACAGTGACCACTTGTGTGATGTTCAGTTTGAGCACCCAGGGTTGATCATAACAGAATCTCTCTTCCCCTTTATACTTGTTTTCAGCTTTTAGATGCTGAATGCTTAATCACTGAGCATTTATTTTCTTTAGCCTCCCTGAGACACTTTAAGACATGTCATGCCTAACTGCTGCTGACCTCTGGGCTCACTAGCTTGTTGCATGGAAAGCTCAGAGGACAGTACTAACACAGCAACAAAGACTTAAAGATTCATATTCAGCTTTTTATGCTGATTTAATATTCATTTTGTTTACCAAAAGCCCTAAAATTTTATGTAGATTTTTTTTTTCCTTTCCATTTTTCTTTCCTTTTTTTTTTATAATCTCAAATGTTGCAGGAAATCATTATCATTAGTATTTTTGTGATTAAAATCATGGCATATCTGCACAGACAAGGTTAAAAATGGAGAAATTATGACCAAGTCCAAGTTTCTGTCTGTGTTTCATGGATGAGAACTGTTCATCGGGCCACCCACGCTGCACAGTGTAGAGCATTACACATAATCATACTGTGCCAGCTCCTTCCTTTATTTTCTAAATACTGTCTTTTTGCTTCTGGCTTTGCGATTGCTGTGTGCTAACCTGTCTTTTTATCTCCAAGCAAGGTCAAGTTACACGGCAGCCCATACAGCCCAGTTCCCACTGGGATAAAGAGGAAAGCAGAAATGTTAAAACAATAATGGCTATGGTCTGAGGCCTGCAACTGGTAATCAGATCCTAGCTTGGCAGAGGCTGTTTCCCAGGAGATTATTTGAAGAAAATAGGCCTGGTTTGCAGGAAGATATCTCTTCCCCCCCAGGCACTCACAATGGTGCGTTTCATCCATGTAAACGCCTTTGCAACACCAAGATTTTTCCTTCTCTCTCTGCTCAATGGAGAACAACCTCTATTAGCTTCCTATCGGTCCAGCTTTTGTGAACGCTCATCATTAAAGCTCGCTTTATGGCTGAGGGGTTAGAACAAGACCTGCCAACATTCCTACTACTCTGTGACCTCTCAGTCACTGGATATGAAAATACATTAAATACAATAGATTAAAATCAGCCATAGACTATCAAAGCCACATAGAGAAATGCATAAATACCATGTGCTGACAGATCAAAGGAAAAGACTTGGGAGTACTGGTGGACGAGAAGCTCAATATGAGCCGGCAATGTGCTCTTGCGGCCCAGAAGGCCAACCGCATCTTGGGCTGCATCAAGAGGAGCGTGGCCAGCAGGTCAAGGGAGGTGATTCTCCCCCTCTACTCTGCCCTCGTGAGACCTCACTTGGAGTATTGCGTCCAGTTCTGGAGTCCCCAACATAAGAAGGACATGGACCAGTTGGAGAGGGTCCAGAGGAGGGCCACGAAGATGATAAGAGGGCTGGAGCACCTTTCCTATGAGGACAGGCTGAAGGAGTTGGGGCTGTTCAGCCTGGAGAAGAGGAGGCTCCGGGGTGACCTTATAGCGGTCTTCCAGTACCTCAAGGGGGCCTACAAGAAAGATGGGGAGAGGCTGTTCAGGAGGGCCAGTTGTGACAGGACAAGGGGTAATGGTTTTAAAATAGAGGGAGGTAGATTCAGGTTGGATATTAGGAAAAAATTTTTTACTATGAGAGTTGTAGAACACTGGAACAGGTTACCCAGAGAGGTGGTGGATGCTCCATCCCTGGAGACGTTCAAGGCCCGGTTGGATGAGGCCCTGAGCAACCTGATCTAGTTGGAGATATCCCTGTTCCTTGCAGGGGGGTTGGACTAGATGACCTTTGAAGGTCCCTTCCAGCCCTAACGATTCTATGATTCTATGATTCTATGAAATACAGCAACAGCTTCCCAATGAGTATCCAATGCTATTTCATTTTATCTGGCCTAGAAAAAATGTTGCAGAGCTTAGCAAAAACATCTTATGAGTAAAATGAGGCGAGACCATTTGGTTTGTATATAAAAGCACAAGATAAAATATTTCAAGTACTGATAAAAAACCAGAAATAATTTATCAAACCTTTCAGTTTGTATATAATTGCTTGTATTCTTTCTAGTTTCTTGTCAGTAATAACTAGAACTGGGAGAAGGGAGCAAGTGATTTATACAGCAGCTTTTTCATTTTGGTTAATCCATTAAAGTAGTTTTAGAAGTTTGCTATAGTTTTGCCAATAATCTGATGGTTAGACAAAGACTTTGTGCAAACATACTTCCGTCTTTCTCTGACAGATCTTTCCTTTGATCTGTGCCTTCATTATTTTCTAGGCATTTACATTTTGCGATTAGTCAAGCAAGTCAAGTTAGCCTTGCATTTTGGACCTAGGTAAGCTTCTGAGATCTGCACCATCCTGTAGCGGGGTGCTCTGTAGCCTAAGTGTGAGTTCAGTGCTGAATTATCTCATTTTGTTTGTTCAGCACCTGCCTGCTCCTTCTATTATTTGATATTCTTGTACTAGAAGCTTCAGTAAATTCATCCGTAGCCACCTATTCCCTGCCTCTCTCTTTTCTCCCTTCAGTCACGTTTTACTGGCTGAAGAGCTTTACCTCATTTATTTGTTCCTTGTATGGAAGCTGGTCCATAACTTTGACTGTTTTTGTTGCCCTTCTTTGTTAACTGCAAGGTGGTTTCTATAGTGTTTGAACTGACAACTCTTCTAGTTTCTAGAGCTTTAATAGCTAGGAATAGAAAATTATTTACATGGTGCTCACACTTTGCGGTCATGTTTGATGACATAAGCACCTTATACCTGGTGTCAGCAGGGAGACCTTACTTTCACTTAAGCAGTCCAAATGCCATATCGTTACTGTATTATTAATACGTGGTGTCTAAAGAAAGCATATTACATGTCATAAATGGAGAAGTTATTGTAATATTAGGACTTGTTAATGATATTTACTTCAGAAGATATTAAAAAACTCTTGCAATGCAAGTCCTGTTTCCTGGGAATGAAGACGCTGCATTCGATTATAATTAAATTCACTTCCTAAAAATGAACATACACAAAAATGTCTTATCCAACAACACTTGCACATCAGAAGCCATTCATTTAATGAAAAGCTTAAATAGTGCCTTACTTCCGTTCTCACAATTTTGCAAAATAACTGAATGATGCTCAGTAAACTTCAGGACATTAAAAGACGGAAGGTAGGTAAAGAGAGGCTTCCTAGCAAACACCTCACAGCTCCATTTGCACCCAGTATCATCTATGTAACCTCCATGAGACAGTAGCCCAGAGAGGAGAGTACAGTGTGGTAGGCAGCCCTGAGCTGGTTCTGGGGCTGGGATACTTTATAAAGAGACCCTACGTGACAGCTAGAAGCAGCTTATTTTCAGGTGTATCTTGATGCTGCCTTTTTATTATCACTCTTCATAGTCTCTTAGGCTCCTGTAGCCATTTAACTTAGCTGCTAGTCAGCAGATAAACATTCATGGCTTATGTTTCCAAAGGATTAAAAGGAAAGTGGTTGGTGATTTGTAGAGGAACAGGAGTCGTACCACTGAAATAACAGTGGTCAAAAGCACAAGCACCTCCACACCCTCTCTTTTATTTACAGCCTTTAATAGAAAATAATTAGTTGTGTTATTGTTTGCTTGTTTTCTGTATGGTTGATTGTTGGATTGGTTTTTTTACACAGCAGCAAGGAAGACAGAAATATTTTTTGAAATGGGCAAATCTGTGCCATAGCACATCTGCCATTATAACTCTGCCTGCAGGGTAATTGCACGCAACATATGCTAACGGAAGGAGCTACTCTTTTTCTTTTTTCTTTTATTTTTTTTCCTTTTTTTTGACTTGCACAGCTACACTACCTCCCTCACCACATGACACAGATGAAAACGTTGTCCTCTTGGCAGAGAGAATAGTCGTATTGTCATCTAAGATTTTGCCATCAACAAAGGTCTAAGAAAATTTCAGATCAGGAACCGGTACAGCTACACAAGAAAAACTTGGTTGAGCAGGCTGGGCCTGTGCTTATGAAACAATTAGGCTGGCAGGCAAATTCTGTGG